AGTCTGGGGTTAAGCAGATGGGTGTTATATGACTCTTTTGAGGCGTGGATTTATGAGCAACTTCCGAGCATTCCGACACTCATCAGAATGGGCTACAATAGAAGCACATGCCACAACTCTTGTGTACCATTGAGGCATCTAGGAGAAGGGCGGGTTTCCTCCATTTGAGCAATTTGAAAACTATTCCACGAAGCTGACAAGTCTGGTAGCTACTGATGTAGGTTTACTCTTCCTGGGATAATTTTAACAATTCCATTTATCTTACCTTTTATGTACTTTAATTCAAAAAACACTTTACGTTTACAGGTTATTTGGGATCCATACCACAACTGCAGAGACCGGCATCCATGTAACCCACCCGGTTACGTTCTACCATGGATGCTTAAAGTGCTTAGACGTTGTTGAACCTATCATCCAGATAGAGTTTTGAGGCAATTTGGCAGGGTTCAAACCATCCCAGATGCAATGCTAGCTCCCAGTCGTGGTGCGCGAGGCAACATATCTGCACAATATACAGTCATGTACAGATACTTAGATAGGATTTGGGAGGCTTGGGATAACCACGTGTTATCTGAGCAACGGAGGAGCACACCAGTTCGTCAGCCTTGGCAATGTGTACCGAGTTACATGGATTGGTATAAGAATATCACGCATCTATATGTCGAGCACACTGATGAACCGCGTGTCCATGACCATCAGGATTTCAACGAACATGTGGATGTAATCTATTATCCTCTCTTATGCATATGTAACTTACTTTTTTTCTGATATGTTCCCTAAAATGTGATATTCTTTTCAAATGCAGCGTATTGCACATGCACTACAGATTTCACATCCTATTATTGACGCTGGTTATCAGGAAGGGATTCGACATCTTTATCGACTTTACCAGGCTATCGAGAGTATGACACATGTCCTTGAAGGTCAGCACATTGACGAAGCTGGACCTAGTTTTGCTGGAGGTCGCTTTCCATCTTCGACATTGACATACAGTCGTAGGCCTAGGTGTAGGCATACAGCTGATTCGTGACATGTTATTTTGTTACATGTTATTTTGTTAGTTAATGAATTTTTTTTGGTGTTTTTTGTAAGATGACATTGTTGTAATGGTAACAGTGGTTAATATTTTCTTATTAGAATGGAATGGCAACAATGGTATTGTAATGACATGGTAATGACATTTTATTATTAAAATGGAATGGTAACAATGGTCCTTGATTTTCTAAATGATATTTTCTTATTACAATGGAATGGTAACAATGGTCGATAACATTCAATCCACATTGCAAAACATAACACATCAACATCAAAAACACATCCATTAATTTCTTCTATAATTCTAACATTGTGAAATGCATACATGTGTCATGCGACATCAACAACATCAAAAGTCTCTCGAGTAGCTACATTATCATGAATAATGTCCTTGAAATGTTGAATGCGACGCACATATGCATCATCCCAGTCGACAGCACAAGGGTGACGGTATTTTCTCCAATTAGTGGCAATAGGAGGAACTGGATGGCCTGGCTGCAACAAAACGTACACCAAATATCAATTGACTTAGTGGTCATACCTCATAACTTCTTGTACATGCACAAACCCAATTGATAAGTTTCTATTATACCTGAACGAAATGATTTCCGTTGACAAACCCAATGGCAATCTCACGTCTATCAAGTTGAGGTACTGGCACTGTTCTAAGAGGTAAAAAGGTGAAACATTGCTGTAAAGACAAGTGGTATAACACAAGATTGTAGCACGATGCAACAAGATGCCCCATGTCTGGCATAGTCATCCAATGTGAGTATCCAGGACTGTCTTCAAAGTATGACAATATGCTTGTCAATTCTTCAAACCTTTCATAGGACCCATAAAGTGTAATGTATTCCTCTTTGTGTGTGTGCAGCTCACGCAACAGATCACGCCTAACCTGAGCCCAATCATCTTCTGTATGACCAATTGAAGCAGCTATAGCCCTGAAACCATAATTCCCATTTGCAGCTACATCCTTGACAAACTTAATGTATGGTTTCAACCCAGCAGGGAAAGCATCAACATATGCACCAGGTTTCACTGTTCTAGTAATGTATGCCTTTCCTTTCGGATTCACCTTCTCATTTCCCTTAACAGGTCGCTTCTTCTTAGTTTGCAGAGTAGAAGCTAATGTAGTGATTTAAGTGTCCCTAGGTGAGAAGGAATCATGTCCAGATTGCACTAACTCAAATGCACATGGGTCACGACGGGTAGAAACATTGATCTTCTTATGATCCCGAGGACGTGTTTTGGGCTTCACCTACGGCTCAACAAGAAAAGTGCTTCCCGGATATACAATCTCTTTCAACTTCTTCAAAAGCTCCAATCGCATGGTTCTATCACTTTCATTAAACTTGTTCACAAATAACTCTACTTCTGCATGACAAGTCACCTCCGTTTCCTTTTCTTTATTGCATATAGAGATATGAAGTTGCCTCCACTGTGAGTATATGGTAGCAAGTGGTATAGGACGATCTTGTCTGATGTAGTCAGCAATCTCATGGGCGCAAGGTAAACCATGAGTGTGGCGAAGGACGCATCCACAAGCTTCAACATCAATACCAATGGAATTGGCTCTCTTACTCTCGACAAGCAAATACTCCAATGCAGAGATAGACACATTACCCCGTAGCTCCCTGAATTGAGAAGGTTTAAATTGATGTTGCACAACAGTTAGACTTTTCTCAAATGAAGCCTTGATATCAGTGTGTTGCAACTCAAGCAGACTGTGTATTTTCTCAAATGATGCCTGAAATGAGACTTGACATGAACCCAATTGTCTTTTAAGTTTTGCATGTGCACTCTCAGCCCTGTTCAATTCAATGTAAGTCAAATTAAAATCAAGTACATGACACTTATTAATAACATATTGAAGAAAAGTAATCTTACCAGTTCGTTGTAACATTGCCACAATGCATACACGTGTCTGTCCATGCCGCCACAAATTTGTCCTTGTAAGGAACCAACCAAGTATCCATGACGTATTTGACTGCATCAGGATAACTACTGAATTCCTTAAGTAATGATTTAAGACGCTCCTCGTATTGAATTTCAGAAGATGAATACACTACAGAGTTCCACTCATGGTTGAACTTCTCCCATTTTTGCTGTGTCTCAAACATTTTCTTGCATTTGGTCAACACATTCTTACTGATATGCCAACGACATAATAAATGTCTGGCACTCGGGAATATCTTCTGTATGGCATTCATCAAGGCTAGCTCTCTGTCAGTAACAATAACTGTTGGCACAACAAACCCATCCATGACATCATGCAATGTAGCAAACATCCACGCATAGTTATCGACCCTCTCATACTGTAAGTATGCGAAAGTTACAGAGAATGTCATTTCAGTTGATGTCACTCCCACAATTTCAATAAGAGGAAGCCGATATCTGTTGGTTTTATATGTGCAATCCATAATTAATATACGCAGGAAAGACCGAAATAAGTCCAAACTAGTAGGATATGCCCAAAACAAGTCTGTCACAGTCATCATGGACTCTTCAGACCGATGGCGCTCAATGTAATTATACTTGGCCAATTCACCCAATAAGTGTTGCATCTGTGATCTTCCAGCTCTCTGTACCACCCTGTTTCGATGGCGTACATTGTAAATGGTTTTAAGTGTGCTTACATTGAGGGCATCTCACTGTTTCAAGGTTACTAGGATTTCTTTTGGCCGAACCATGCTCTTTGACATATCCATTAACAATGTTTTCTCATCCTTTGATAGCCTCCCCGCATATGAATGTCCCTCGAGGTGCTCCGCAGGTGGATGATTATGCAATCTGCATACTACGGTCAATGTCCATTCATCATGTGTGGTAAACCTGTGAGCCCTCATATCAAAAGGACAACCACATTTCTTCGTACCGGTTATTCTTGATGTATTGTTGCCATCATGTTTTACCTTCTTTGTTGCTCTATATTGGCCACTCCTCTCACAAGCAAGATACATCCTGGATTTTTTTTTCCCTCCACCATAGTCTGATGTTTTGATTACAATGACCAAACCATTTCTCTTTCCAACTTCACGTACCCAGTTTAGCAATTCATTCTTACTTTTGAATATCTACAAAGTTAAATAAATATTATCAAACATTTACATTTCGTGAGCAATTCGAAACATAATCGTTATAATTTCGTAAACTGAACCTGTTCAGTTGTGAATTGAGTGGTGTAATCTAACACAAAATCCGTGCAAACCTGACTTCCTTGAGTTGACACATATTCCTGCATGTTTTGTATGACGTTACAAATTTTTAATGGCATTATAAAGATTAATTTGCAATTTGAAACTGTAAATTTGGTATGCAATTTGCAAATTTGGAATAAAAAATGGAAAAAAAAAAATTTACTTCATTCGGAAGTAGTTGTTCGAATTTTTTTTCAAATTTCGGAAGTTGAATGTTGTAAAAGTTAACTTTGTTCGGACAACAACTTCCGAATTTAAATACATTGTTCGGACAACAACTTCTGAAATTTATTACTTTGTTCGAACATTAACTTCCGAAAATAAATAATTATTTCGGTAGTAGATTTCCGAACCAAATAACACAATTCGGCTCTGGTTATCCGAACGACGCTGGGAAAAAAAAAATTAAACTCACATTTCCTTCGCTCTGCTTCACATGAACACTTATTTGCTGATTTTCAGAAGGCAAATCCTCCATAACAATGATGTTTTCCCTACGAATGACGAAGGTTGATGAATGAGCACATTGAGAAGCTGCAGTGCATGTGCAATACGAAAATGCCAAAGCCCTTTGGTTTCACTTCTAGCTCAATGAACTTGGAAGAAGCTATGAATGACACTGCATCCACAAGCTACACACACGATGCAACAGATGTGAACTCTGAGGTGTGCATTGAGATGTTTTCAATTAACAATGGTATCTAAAATAGTAATTTTACTTAGGGATAAAATTGTAATAAAATTAAATATCATTAAGTGTGTGTATTGAGGGGATTAGGTGTGGGTTGCATTATGAGTTGAAATTACCATTTTATCCTTTAAATGTTTGAACTTGTCATAACTCTTCAACCCAATTGTCATAACTCTCCAACCCATCTTTCATCATCTCTCGCTTACCATCTGAAGAAAGAAGACTTTCTGTCACGGATCTCTCTCTGGTGGAGCTCTCCCTTTCAAACCACGCGATCGGCAAAGAACTATGACAAGTAAATGAACTGTAATAATCTCGAATTCGTAAATGTAAAAGTTATAGGCAAATTGACTAATAATTGTAGTTGTATTTGTAATTGTAATCTATGTGAGGACAATTCAAAAATTTTGTAATCTATGTGAGGATAATTCAAAAAATTTGTAATTGCATAGATATTTTACTTTTTTAATTAAAATTCAAATGTTGCCTAAATTTGTAATAATCTCAAATTCGTAATTGATAGAATTGCAAGTTAAATTTGTAAGAAGTTTGTCAATTTTTTTTAATTCTTATTTATAATTATAAGTTAACTATCAAACAAATAAAATGTTATATGCAACAATTAGTATACTTTAGTGTACTAATAAATGATTACTAATAATTGTTGAATTTTTAAAAATTTATAATTTGTATAATTGGTAAGGTTTAAAATAATGTCAGAAGGTATGTTGGTAGTATGCCAATTGTTTACAAGTTATAAATTTTTTTTTTTATTGCTCTTTTAAAATTTATTTATAATTCACAAATTGAAGATTTCAAATTTTATTTTAACTGTTACGAGCTGCGTCTAGATTCTGTTAAAAAAAATATAAATAAAAAGATGCGTTCAAATTCACCCACTGCCACGTCAACACAAAAATATTCATTTTCCTGTTGGAATAGTACATGGACACATGTAGGGGCAGTTTGGTAATTTCATATAAAAACATCATTTCAAACCCTTTTACCAATATAACCATTAAAAAAAAAATTCAACCCATATTTTCAAATACACAAACTAAAATAGCTTATTAAAATAGTCAAATAATCAAAAAATCTAAAAAATAATCACTTCCCAAACAAGACCTTTATATGCAAGTAAATTTTTTCTCAATACTATCAAGTATATATTTACCATTTTGCTCGAACTTTTTTTTTTTTTTTTTGATTATAAATTTTTGATGGCCCCTTTTAGAAGTTTTCGTTGTGCCCCATAAAATTCAAAGGTTAGCCTTCTTTTTGTATGTCTTTCGGGGGGAAAAAATTAAATCGATTCGATGGTCGTAATATTTTTATTTTATTATTTTATTTTTAAAAAAAATAAAAAATAAGTATGTTTTTAAAGATAAATTATTTATTTTATTTTAGAAACAAACACAATAAAATATAAAAAAATGTTATAATTATCATATCGATATAATTTTTTTATGAATAATATATACAAAAAAATCTTACAAATAAATAATTCGAATTATCAAAATGAGACACATGGTGAAACCCACAAGCCCCTCAAGTATAACCTTTACAATGTCATGTTGAATCAGTTAAATTGTTTTTAGTCTTGGTATATTAATAATAAAAATGTGAAATTCCGAACATGATAATAAAAAAAAACCATTAAATACCCCCAATTTGAGATTTTTAGGATGCTCTGCATATTTGTTTAAGAAGGTTTGCATGTTGTACATTATTTCCATATGCATTCGACATTTTTTTATGCATTTGACTGTTGGAAATGGTTAATTTTTCCTAAAGTTTGGTCTATTTTTTAGGTGGGCCCCGAGTGTCGATTTACTCGGGTCAAAGTGGTAACGCGTTCTATGCCGCGTTGTGATTCACGTGGTATATTTGGTTGCTCAAAACCATTACCGAGTGAATGGGAAATTGAAGCCAAAGTGTGCACCATGAAAATGGAGTTTTGGTGGAAATTCCTTAAGGTTGTAAATTGGCTTGTCCCACATTGATTTGGTGGGAGGTTTTGAAAGGGTTTATAAGGCTTAGGGTGAGATACTTGGGGTGTGCCCCAAGGGGTACCCAAGTGTTTTAGAGGGAGAGGTTATGGGCAAAATGGGCTAGACCCATTGGACCCAAAAATCACCACACGCGCGCGCGCCGCCGTCGGTCCGGGCGGGCTGGGGCGCGGGTGCGTGGTTGGGTTGGGCTTCTAATCTTTTTGGGCCAAAAACATTTGAATTTAATTTTTTTTTTATTAAAATAAAATCCAGAATTCAAATTAAATTAGTTTGGATTTTTTTTCATCCAAACAGGGCTCTTCCCGATTTCAAACAGAAATAAACTGTTTTGGAATTAACGCACACCCAAACAGGGCCCTTCCCGTTTTACTATCTGTTTAAATTTATTCAAATCTGTTTGAATTCAAAACCCAACAGGTATGATACCTGTTCAATTCAAAACCAAGAGCTACATACCTGTTTAATTCAAATCCAAGAGCCACCTTCACATTTATAAATAGGACCACCCTCATTTGATATTTTTTCATTCACAAATTTCGTATTTCACCTCTGTTAATTAAGAGCCACCTTCACATCTCTGTTTAGGACCACCCTCATTTGATATTTTAGATTCAGAAATTTCGTATTTCACTTCTGTTTTCTATTCTTCATCTTGCTGCATTTTATTTTCTAAAGAAAGAGTTTAAACACTTAGTGTGTTCGTAAGGCAAACAGTTAGTAGTGCTGCTATTGTTTGTTTGTGGTAGATCATTTCATCCTGGGAGATAGACGTCCAAATTCTGAAAGCACCGTGGAGAGGACGAATCTGTCTTAAGGACACAGTGTCAAACACTGGACTTGATCAGAAAATAATTCGAAGAAATTAAATCAAGTATGTTATTTAATTACTTTCAGTGTTGTTTTTTATTTGTTTATTTATTCAGATTTTAATTTTGTTTTTGTAACAAAATAAAATCTGTGTTTTTTTAATTTATATATTTTTATTTCAAGTTTGATTTTTGTAATCAAACATATTCTCTCCTTTTCTTTATTTCTTTATATTCTGGTTGTTGTTTAGTACACAACAGAATTAAATTAATTTAAATACAGTGAAGATTGTCCTACAATAATTCATCCGAAACTTCGGTCTAGGCAATTTGTAAAGCAAACACCAAACTAAAAAAAATATGAGTCTCAACTGTCGCTTACTCATAATTGCCAAAATACTATAAGCCAAGTATTAAATAAAATTTGATGTCAAGATATTAGCATCAAAATATTATAAGCTAAAACCTATAATTGAGAATAAAGCTACCTCATTTGGATAGGCTTTTAATTGGCTTTTTAAAGTCGCTTTTATTATGGTATAATCTTTTAATTAATTTGAGTTTTACTTTCCTAAGGACTCTTGTTGTGGCTTTTTGGATTTTATTGAACAGCAATGATTCATCCCCTTTTCTCTCCACCCCCTTTGACCTACTCTCTCTCATTGGTTACATTTTCTTTTTCTTTTTCTTTTTTTTACTGCTCCTCAAATCACCACCCGCCACGTGGCAAGGGGGTGAGGGGTGACCCCCAAAAGGGGGTCCCAAGCATTATTCTTTATTGAAATTCCAAACTAAAAGTTATCAAAAAGCCATATAAAAAGCTAGTAGAAAAGCTTAGAGTAATGTTAGAGATTATGAAAAAAATATTATGAAAATAATCATGAAAGATTATCTATATTTAGATTATACATATAATAAAATACTACACAATAATCAAAAGATAAAAAAATCTTCATAATGCCCATGATTCCTAATATTATTCAAAATCTTATGCAAATGAGAAACCACTGCCTTGTTTGGTTTATCTCTTGAGAGACACTTTTTGAGAAAAAAAATTTAAAAATTTGTTCAGTAAAAAATTTTTGAAAAAAAAAAAATTTAAAATCATTTTTCTCTCTACTACACGTCAATTAATTACTTTTTCTCTCACAAACATCTAGAATTTGAAGAGGGATTTGGAAAGGAAATGGAAATGTAGGTGAATGTGAATAAACCATATCTATATTCACATAGTTTCGCACACCGCATTTCTTC